TCGATTTTAAATCAGTCTACGACATGATCGACCATCAAAAGATATACGATGTATTATGCCAATTCAACATCCCCTCCAAGCTTATCAGGCTGACCAAGTTAACAATGGACGAGGTGGTGCATGTTGTTAAAATAAAGGGCAACATATCGGAGGAATCTTTTACTAGAAGGGGTGTAAGGCAGGGTTATTTCTCTTAGCCCTAGAAAAAGTAGTTTGTGGGTCCCAAATACAAACATCTGGCACGAACTTCGATAGGACTGTTCAGCTCTTTGCTTTTGCCGACGATATAGACATTATTGGACGTTCTCGGCAAGCGGTTGCACTATCATTTCTGGACTTGGAGGCTGCAGCAAGGAAACTCGGCCTTGCTGTCAACGAGGAAAAAACGAAAAATTTGGTAACCCTGAAGACCCCAGGACATGGCACTAGAGTGGGTTTTGGATCCTTCAGGTTTGAACAGGTATCAGAAGTCACATATCTGGGCTCGCAGATCACTGTTGATAACTGCATGGCCACAGAGATAAATAAGAGGATTTTGCTGGCCAAATGTTGCTATTATGGTATGAGCCAACATATGAAAAGCACTCTGGTGACTGAGTGTAACAAAATAATCCTCTATAAGACTCTTATCAGACCTGGGCGATAACCAAGGCAGCCGAGCAGGACCTCCCTAATATTCGAACGGAAAATTCTAAGAAGAATTTGTGGTCAAGTGTGTGTGAATGGAGAGTGGAGAAGTAGGAAAAATTCGGAGATCTACCAACGTTTTAATGAGGCCAATATTGTCAATTTTATAAGAGCAGGCCTTCTCAGATGGGAAGGTCATATGGCCAGAATGAGAGACCACATGATCCCGAAGAAGGTGTTGGTTGAAATCCTGTATGGAGCGCGACGAGTAGGAAGACCACAGTTAAGACGGAGGGACAGCGTGGACAAAGATGCTAGGGATTCGAGACTTACTTAGATGGATTCGGCAGCACAAAATAGGGACACCTGGCGGATGCTGTTGGCGGGAGCCATGACTCGCTAAGTGGGTTGTAGAGCCAGTATAAAAAAAAAAATATAAAATAAGTTCTGTTTAAAAAAAATCATAAATTATCTGCGTTTTTTTTATCATCATTCAGCTATACTACAGTTACCCCACTTTTAGAAAAACTACCTAGTTTACTTTCCAACTGTTTTATTTTAAGCCACTTTACACCAATTTTTAATTTGGTCAACTTAATGTCTACAGCGTCTTATTACGATGTTTCGGCTATTTTCAAGTCCATTATGTACCTGTCCATTTCACTTCTTATGCGAATTACATGTGTCTATTCATAATAAAATGTATCATGATTGTCATGTCCACCTTTAACTTATTTGTCTACCCACATGTTGTCTGTCTCATTTCTATTGAGTGACTGAATAGTGACTAGTTTAGTTAATAGTATTAATAAGTTAATAGTATTAACCTAGTTTAATAATTTTGAAGTTTATGTTAATTAAATTGAGGTTATTAGGCAAAAACTTGAGATTTACCTCAAGTTGTGTGAAGAAATGATATGATTTTCTATTCATATCCTAAAAGTACCCATGTTTTCAACAAAATTGAATACAATTAATTGTTGCAAAGCTTTTATTTGTTATTTTCCCATGATCTGTGATGCATTGTAATAAAAATAATTGCCTAAATACATATTTTATTTATAAAAATAAAAGATTTAAAGTTGACGATATTTCTAATATTTTTCATGCAATGTGTTGATGAAATTATGCTCATAGGAATTTCTGTCATTTATCAGTGACAAACAGAATGTTTCTAGTCCTAAAATTGAAGTTTAAAATAAAGAAACCTACTGATTGCTTCAATTATTTTCATGAAGGTCTGCTATCCTCCTATCAAAATTTCTCTAAAGGAATTTTTCTTCTAGTAAAGGAAAATATTGCGATCATGAAAATGTCTGAATCTCAGTTTTCAACGGAAATAGACGTTTTATGGTGTGTGGTGTGTGTGTGTGTGTGTGTGTGTGTGTGTGTGTGTGTGTGTGTGTGTGTGTGTGTGTGTGTGTGTGTGTGTGTGTGTGTGTGTGTGTGTCTGTGTGTCTGTGTCTGTGAAAAATAAAAATATTTCATGGATATGTTTATAACCTTTAATACATTTACTGTAGTTTAATAACTCTAGATCTGATATTATATTTAAATAATTAGGTATCTATCATCCATTTATTCAGAAAATTGATCATGTAACCTTTTAGAAAATTAAATTAGTGAATAATTTGATGAATTTTCCCTTTGTGATATTCCAACAGTATACACTTACAATTAGTGTGACAACTTTTTACCTGTCTATGACAGGCAATGCAAATATCGTAATTTCATTTTAGTAAACTTTTCTATGGAAAATAATAGTTTAATAACTAATAGTCATACAATCCATAATCAAATGTTGATATAAGAAATAGGATTTTTGTTATTTCAATGGTATTAATGATTTGATAGCTGTAAACTTTAAGCTTTAGCACAATTAAAAATGCACTTAAAAATATTTATAATAATAGCCCAACATTACCAGAAAATAATTTCTATTCAAAGTAGACCTGTAAGTGAAAGTTTTGTGTTGCACCAGATTTTTTTATTTGTTCACAGTTTATTTGTTGTTCAGCTGCTTTTAAAATTAATTGATTTAGATAGAGATATAGATTGAGCTGCATTAAATAAAATTACTTGTTAGAGGAGATCAAAGCTCAAATTATGGTATCTAATAAAGCATCATACTTAAGAAGTAAATCGGTCAATCACACCGCAAAATGTGAGTTGTATAACATTTTAATAAGACTAGTTGTGGCCTACATGTTTGATACATGTATATTAAAGGGAGTGGAAAATATTTAGAAGTTTCCTGGGCCTAATAAGCGAGAAATCTATGAGAGTGGCACCAAATCTATGAAAATCTGAATATATCAGACTTATCACAGCGTTGATACTATTAATCAAAAAATATCACACCAATTTAAAGCACACAACGTTCATCCATTACACTGAGCATCACTTCAACAATTGTTTGGGAAATATAATTTTTTTTTAGCATTCCTTTATTTTTTTCTCTCCTCATCTTATTACAAACTAATACAAATTATTTTTTATAATAATAGAAGTGGAATAGAAGGGTATTTGAAAAAATTAATTATTTATACTAGAATAATTTTATTATAAACTATAAAGATCAAAACTATAACATATTTAATATACGATATCTTTTAGAATATCTGACTTATTGTCTTGTCCATCCTCAATAACACCATACAACAAAAATATATTTTATTCATCATAATATTAGTAAAGGATTATTTCTCTAAAAGAATTCATCTGTCTTTAGCATGTTTTTAAGAATATTTTTAATTACTGTAATAACAATAATATGACTATCATTTTAAAAATATGTAATAATTATAATCATATAACTAACATTACTAATGTATGTAATCACAATTATAATTATATATACAAAATTATTTTATTTTATGTCCTATTTTTGTTGATTATACATATACAAACATTTCAATATTACATTATATTGTTATGTTGATTTTTTTTTTTTAAATCACTCACTCGTAAGACATTACTTGATAACTATTTTTTAACAATCATTAAGTAAAAAAGTATTTTATGTTAAAAAAAAGAAACATGAACTGTTTACATATTTCTAAATCTTGCCAATTGTCAAAGCAGTGGCAGAGTAGGTGAACTGTAAAATCTGAAAAAAAATCTAGGATTAATAATTATTAATACTGTATAAAACTTTATTGTAATTTATTGCTATAAAATTCATGAGCATTTTTCACTTAAAACTGTTAACAAACAAACATAATTACACCACAATTCTGAGAAAATTTACTTCATCAAATTCATTAAGCAAAGCACCTCTATTAGTCTCTCAGCATCTGAGATAACAAACTAAAATTTCTTGAAATATTTTAGAACAACAATTGAAAAATTAATAAAATATTTTTAACTTAACACATGAAAAATACCTGTAATCATTATTTCCATCATATTGAAATTGTTTAGCTTAAGATAATAACTCGTTCAAAAATAAAACGTGAACGTATTATTTACAATACATAATAATAAAAATGAATAAAGTGAATGAAAAACAAATGTATTCTTAAATAATGCTCAGACCTTTCGTGCATGAAATTTGGTAAATTAAAAAAAGTCTGGAGTGATACGTTTCACTATTTTTACTAACAATACTTTTTTCATAATTCTTTTTGTAAGTTAACAAACCTTGATAAAATTACTTTAATTATAAATAAAATCTTAAGAAAATTAAAGTAAATTATGAAAATTCTGTACAAAAAGTATATCGACTGTCATATGCTAAAAAAAAAAAAAAGTTTCACCTAGTAGTTTGAGTCAAGACATAGAAAAGAGCCTGTTTGTTTTAGGAAGCACCAAAGTGAAGACCTTATCAACAACCTCTGAATCATCGTGGGGCAGAGTAATAATTGGCCATCCTCTCTAAACTTAATCTTCATAGATTCCAAAAGGGAGTAAATTAGGTTAAGAAAAAACAGAGCATTAGGCTTATCATGGAATTTTACAGTGACTTCGACTGCAGGGTTCTATATGAAAGGATACTGTCAGGTCCTTACGTCGGGAAGGAGCAGGAGAGGCTGGACTTTCAATATATATCAAGAAGATGAAGGTAAACCCGAATGTAGACTATCGAAAGGATTAAAGTCTTCTCTTAGCTAGGTAGCCTTAGTGAAAGTGTCAGAAAATGCAATCAGAGAGCCAATTCTGTATTCATCCACCTCTACGCCATTTGGGGAAACCAGAGTGTGTCCAGTTCTATGAAACATAGATTCTATACTCCAATGTAAAATCTGTAGTTCTGTACGATTCAGAAACTTGAAAGATCATGAGGGGTGTCACCAGGAAGCTGCAGATTTTTATCAATTGCTGTTTCCGCTGCATCCTCGATATCAGAGGACAATCTCTAATCAAGAGCTTTCTTATAGAGACTGGTTCCTCCAAGGAACACCTGGAAGAGAACCAAGTTGAATGAGATGGAGCAGGCAGCGAAGACTTGGAGTGAGGTGAAGGTGCTGGTTGGAGACAGAGATCGATGGACATTGTTCGTTTCTTTGCTCCACTGGGAGCTATAGAAGTTAAATCCAAAAGTAGTTTCATGCGTGAGAGTTATATCGTTTTTTAATAATGGGTCTTTAAACATCGCGATTTTTCTAAATTTAGGTATTTAAAATCTGAAATACTTCAGAAGTCATATCCTTTTAAAATTGGACATTGGTTGAAAATATTCTATTATTGAGTTGCAATAACTGTTTGAAATTTCATTACTGAGGCTTTATAAGTTTTTTATCTAGAAATATTACAAAGGATTTTTAGAAATCTGATGTGGAAAATACACTATATATATATATATATATATATATATATATATATATATATATATATATATATATATATATATATATTTGTAATTTTATAGTGTAGGTTTAAATAAATACCATCACTGCCCGTCTGTTACATTACTTCCTTGAGCTGATGTAAGTATGTGACATGGACTATTGTTAAAAATAGAACAGTCCCTTTATAGTTATATATTATTATTTTATTTTGGTAAATCAATTCAGTAATTACAAAATGTGATGTCCCAACTTACTGCTTCCAAGGTTTCCAGATTCACTGGGTACATCCCCAGAGCAGTGAGGTTAACATTCCTCCTGGTTCCTACCATCAACATCTGGGCCGCCTTCCTGAACTCCACGTCGGCCTTGTACCACTCGCTCCTGTAGATGGCGAAGTGGAGGTCTGAGCTCTGCGGTCGAAAAGAGAGGAATTGTGAAGGATGAAAATATGATAATTATGTTTATTGCTAGTTACTTTGGCTGCTATTCTTTATTGAAACATTTAGATTTAGTTTCAGTGGAATTTCTAAATTAATAAGAAAATAAAATGAATAGCCACTAGCCTCAAAGTGAGCAAAAAAGAAGGTATTTATAATTTCAAAGATAGGTATAAAGTCTATTCTTGAACATTTTTCAGCTTAATGAGAACTCCAAATTTAAGGCAGATGGCTGACCATGGCAGTAGGAAAATAGGAGAAGCAATATATATTACTAAAATTATAGAATACACAAATTATCAATACTTATAAAAAACAAAAAACAAAACGGACATGCATAAAATTGATTAATAAAAAATAAAGGCCATAATAAATTTCTTTTTTTTTTTTTATCTGATTCCCCAATTTGAATAATATATTATGAAATATTTTATGTAAGATTTTTAGTTTTTTTCTGAAACGAGGTTTCATTTTAAAGCTATTTTGAGATTTCGTTTTCTGGCAGTTTTAAATGGCAAGTATTTTATAAGGCGTTGGAGTGCCTTAGTAAAGTAAACATCAATACCTCTTAAATAAGTACAAATAAATAAATAAAGCGAGAGGGGGATGAAATAGAAAAAAAATAATTAAAAAAACAACCCGACTACAGATATTCTATCCATGTAAAATATAAAAGACTAGTGGAAATTCTATTCACCCTAAGGAAATGTACTTCCATCTCTACTGAAACATTTTGGTAGATTGATAGGGAAATTGACATCTACAAAGTTTTAGTGGTCGGATTTCTTTCACTACACATTACGGCTTCAGACAAATTTATTTCGTCCCATGCTTCGGTACATGTCGACATCGGAAAGAGCCCTGAGCTGTAATAGGAACCCGACTATTACGCTTATTAGATTTAAATATTCCTAGATATCAATTTCCCTATCAATTTATCAAGATGTTTCAGTAGATAAAGAAGTACATTTTCTCAGGGTGGATAAAATATCCCAATTTCTGTGGCCGGGTTGTTTTTTAAATTTTTTTTTTTTTAAACATTGACAATTTATTTTCATAAAATATGATCACATATCACATTTCAAATCAATTAATAATCGAGATATTTAAACTATAATAAAGATTTTTTTCAGAATTCTGAGACCAAATTGCTTCAAAACATTCACGGAATCTAACTGAATAATTATAGTCATCAAAGTTAAAAATCAAACATGTCATACACCCAAAAAATCTTTACGTGATTTTAAGCGGATTGATTAAAACCACTTCATACGGTAATTTGATCAATTTTTTAGCTCAAATTATTCTAAAAACTCATGGAATATCAGCGAATAATATAATATATCAATTTTTAAGTAAATCGATCCAGCCATTCGCTCAAAACAGCGTTACAATGCTTTTTGCAAATCGATTAAATGTATTCTATTTAATCACGGTTCAGAATTTTTAGTTCAAAGTGTTTCAAAATACTCAAGGGATCTCACCGGATAATTTGAGCCATTAGATGTCGAAGTGTATGGTTATGGTTTAATAAGTGACATAGAAACAGTAGCGGATCCAGAATTTGATTTTAAGGAACTTTTTTCTCTTTTTTTTATAATGTTAATTAATCCGAAAAAAATAGCTACATGAAATGATATTTAAGTGGTCCTCGGAGGTCAAAAAAAAAAAATCCAGTTTGTCAATTTTGACGAAAAAGTCGTTGTAACATAACATACATCTACAAAACTTAAATACGAACTTACAGTTTCATACGACTTTCCGTTTTTGAGCTAGACTGTTCACAGATACATAGACCATTTTGCAAGATTTATTTTGATTCAGATGAACTCAAAAGATGTATTTCTGTTGAAAACTCGGATCCGAAAATTTTCACGATCGCAATGCTTTCCCTTAGGTATTATATATTACATTTACAGGATGTGACGTAAGTAGAGATAAATATTTATAGGATATCAGATCTCAAGAGCTACAAAAATGTTTATATAAACAACAGGACAATTTTCAGTAGAAAACTAGAAAATCCAAGTTATATGTTCTTTTCAGTAAGCGATAATTAAAGATTCTTGCTGTAATTTGTAATGAATGTTTATAAGTAGCAGTTACAAAAATGTATTTGTTGTTTTTCCTTGATCTAGCATGCATCGTTATAAAAAAAATTGCCTAAATACACTTTTTATAATTATAAAAATAATTATTTTTCATGCAAAATAGTTATAAAATGCACTTTTTTCTAAAAACATCAAAGCCACCTGCAAAAGGAACTATAAAAGACAGATGTGTCATTTTGTAGTTCGTACTTCGATCACATTTAGGGTGAATATTTATTCAAGCACAGAAATATTTTTTTTTTAATTTATGTAACTTTTTTTTGTTTATGTTGATTTATTTAATTTTTTTACTACAGGCTAAACAAACTAGCGGTAAAAATAAAAATAAATAAATGAAGTAGTAGATCAGCGGCATCATATTTACTAATACAGGATAAATACACGGTGGGCCAGACCCCCTTACCGTGCACCCCCCTCCCCCCTCCACATCCCTATAAATTGCATATCGTTGTGTTCCTTGTAACTATTTATTAAAAAAAAGCCAATGTTCCCACAAAAAAAAGTGAACGCACTGCCCCAAAATGGCGTCCAAAGATGGCGGATTGACGACTTTGACTTTAGTTAGTTTTTTGGTCACTGAGAATCAGCATTTGGCTTAATTTCCTCATAGTTGGTCTTTTATTAAAGCTGAATAGTCATAGAATAATAAAACATGAAGAAATATTAAAAAATAATTGACTTAGGCTACGAAAAACTTCAATAAAGTCAATTTTTTTTACAATTTAAGTTACAAATCAAGCGTCGTTGGTAATTAAACGGCCTACAATAACGCAAAACGTGCTGAAATAAACCATCTGGAGAATATATTTCTCTTTCTAAAACGCTGATTATTTTTTAAAAATGTTAAGCAGTTCCGTAGAAAATGTACTTATGCGGCAGAAAAGCGGTACTGGCGTGGGTGCCTACAGGCCTCTACCACACCATTCAGTGCCCATAAATGGCTTAGTCATAGTGATATAATAACATTTTTGGTACATTATATTGATTTTATTAACGAACAAATATTAATTCAATAATTTCATTGTAAAAAAAGAAAATTATTTAAAAACAAAATTTATTATTATATTTTTTTAATTTAACCTCCTTTATTCTATACGTAGGTCGTTTAAGAAGACCTCAATTGTAAAAATGATATAATGATAATAATAAAACTTAATTAAAAAATACTTTGCTAAATATCTTGATTTTTTTTTATTTAACGTTTGCAATTTAACACTGTATATTTACTGATTCTTAGAGGTAATTAAAATTTTAATATACTTCCCAGGAAATGAGTCATATTAATACCTGTTTTATAAACTAAAATAATATATACCTAATCTGAACTATATATAATAAATAGTTACCCGGTTGTTTGGTGAAACTCATACATCACTCATTAAATTTATTTCCTTTATTTTGTGCAGAAGTTGGACTATATCATAATTAAATAGGAAATTTTAATATTGAATGAATTATTCTCCATGCACAAAGAGAGATAGAAAAGATGACGCTATAAGTTCTTCTATAAACCAGGACTGTTAGTTTGTTTTTGGTATCAAAATTAGGAAAAACGCGAAATGGAACCAGAAAATTGGAAAAATACAGTAAGCGAACGAGAAAGGAAGTGCCAAAACCTCGGAACAGATAAAAAGGACCAGTATTCATTATATAGCTAAATGAATGTTTAGTAGACAGATGAACAGAATATTTTAAGATGCTGCTAAAAGGGAGTCAATTGCAGTTTGGATGATATTAAGTGGACGATGTATGTTTATTATGGTGAAAACCACTTTATTTTCACTTTATGAAGTTGAAAATTGGGACTGTCTTCACTTTAAGGCAGGTTATAGAGAAGTCCATATAAAAAGAAAAATAGCTCTCAATCTGCTTAGTGCCTCACACTTTGGATTGTGCTAATATCTAATTGTCTTTCAGAAAAGCTCGTTTTCCTTTTAGATTACTTAAAAAATCTTTTACAAGTGCACTAAACAGAAGGAGAGCTATGAGCTATAACTTTCTCGATATAACTCTCTATATCCTGCTTCAAAGTGAAGATGTGCACCTTCAGCAATCGAAAATAAAGTGGTTTTCACCATAATAAACATTTTAATTTTTTTTTACTATTATTGCATTAATATTTTTTCGTTAATAAAACCAAATTCAATTTCATAAAATTGGGTCTGGAGGAGGGAGAGGGTTTTTTTTTTTAATGTTTTTAAAGCAGGGCTTATGGAAGTAAAGGTTTTGCAATACTCATAACAAAAATCTTGTTATTGGGCTATTTGTTTAGGTACCACACAACTAAACCGACCACCACCGATCTATTAAAATTTGTTAAATGTTCAATTTTTATTTATGATGAAGCGAGGAGATTGTGGAATTGATTAATTAATCAAAAAGAGTTGTAGCTTCTCCACTTCTTTAAACTCTCCTGAGTTTATCCCTGGAAAAATAACCAAAATAGCATTGTACATTGAGTCATCTACATTCGTGTAAAATTAGAACTTGATATGAATATTGTGGCGGGTGGGGTGAAATTTTTGTGAGTCTTTTTCCCTTGATTTCCGGCTAATCCGGTTGGTTAATCCTAAAAATGTATACGACAACATTTGTGAGGCTCGATGAGTTAAAACGAATGACACCTTGAACGGAAAGATCAGACAAAGTTTAAAAATGAGTATGTTTTACCGTTTTATGCGACATCGCGTTACAGATGTTCGGTATTCCAGATTTTTCCATCCATTGAGTAGTACAACTTTTAAATGTGGCTCGCGATAAAGTAGGTTGGGATGGAAATCGAAATAAGTAACTGCCTAACCGGGATCTCTAGACAAATTACTCAAGAATTCTTAACTTTGGTTCTGTTCAATATTTTGTTTTCATTTAAAGCCTATATTTTAAGTAATGCAAACTTAAATATAATATCAAAATTTCAAAAGTCTACCATTAGCCATTGCCGAGCTTACCCCTGACAAAATATCTTTGGACAATCCGGACATCCAGACAGACAAAACATTTTTTAAAATTGGATTTGGTGCATGTAATGTACGAAACGGAAATGTATCATGAAATGGGTTAATTCTATTCAATATACAGCCAAAACTTTATTTTATTTATATAGATTAGTTATGGATAATTATTTAAATATTATTATTTTTTTTAATGTGAAAAACGCAACAAAACTTAACGTGTTGAGGTTAGAGTTATAACATTCTATACATTATTTCTAAAAGGTGTTTTTTGTCGTGCGCCATAACTTCGTAAATTCTTCATCAAATCCAATGATTGACCACTAATTTTGAATATATTCTCCTTTACATGCGAAAAATAGTCCTATCCTCCTGAAATTTCTGGGAAAAAAAGTTATGAAGGAAAAGAAACTTTATTTACAAATAACTCAAAAAGTATGCATTTTTTCTAGATTGTACCTGTGATAATTAAAACGATTACTAAATTTCCTACAAAACAAAAATTGATTAGAAATATGTAAAATGTAAACAATTTGTATTTACGGAAGACGTGAAGTGTTTTGAAATGTTTTTTTTAGGAGGAAGAGAGTTGAGATTTGTATTTCGCAGCTCGAAAGACTCTCGAATACGAATTTTCATTGTGATCGAAAAATAATTTTATTTTTCTACTTATTTGACCTAAGGGAAGCCTTTGATATTTTTTTCGAAAATCACAAAAGTGCTATAACTTCAATATGCTTCCACCTCTTCAGACGAAACTTTGCAGGGATATAGGGATATAAACTACACGAAATGACTTAAACTGTACCTTCCTAAATAATTTAGAACTCAAGTTATAAAATAAAAACCTGTTAGGAGTTATTATTTATTTACCCTCTATAGACCTGTTAAATCAAAAAGTTATTTATACATAATAAGTTATTTTTAGTCCTATCCCTCCGAAATTTCTGCAAAAAAAATTATGAAGGAAAAGAAACTTTATTTGCGAATAATTCAAAAAGTATTTTTCTTGATTGTACTCATGACAACAAAACAACAAAAAAATCGTAAAAATCGAACAATTATTAACAAAAATACAGTACATTAGTTTTGGTATACTTAATAATTTCTTCCTCTTTAAAAATATTCCAATTACTAAACATTTTTTCTGGTTGATATATTAACATAATTATCATTGAAGGCATTTGTTGGTTTTACATTTTTTTTTTTTTTTAAGCTTAGAAAATCTCATGATCGAGACTTTATTTTGTCTTTATTACCTTTATTATCGTTCCATTCAGCGTTTAAAAATCGGTCCTAGCAAAGCAATTTGTACAAATATTTTGGTCTATTATGTTGAATGGAATATTGTAATTGACCAAGGAAAAAATCTTAATTCCTTCCATACATAATATATAGGATCTACTTATTTCAATATTATTTTACATTTTCTTCACTAAACAAAATTTTCTGCGATTCGTATGGGCCAACTAATATGTATTATTATTAACATATATCTATTTATTTATATATATATATATATATATATATATATATATATATATATCTGTATTTAGTTTATATATCCTCTATTACTTACCGCTGTTCCAATGAGTGAAGACCCCAGGCAGAACATGGATACTTCAATAAATGCAAATGAAAACACCTGGGCAATTTGAAATATGACACTGGGATTGCTTCCCTAATGAAAACCCAGCAAAGAGTAAGTAATTATTTAAGTAATACATTTTATTTATAATTAATCAATTGTTCACTAATATTTATCTTACAAGCAAGATCTGAACAGCGGCGATTATCAGAACGATGATACCTATTCCCAGTGTTATTGTCACCATTGGGTTGTAAACACTGCTCAGTTCCTCCGTGTACCTATGAAAAAAGAGAGTCATTATTAAATGAAGTTTCACCATTAAAATACATCATATTTATAAATAAAATACTTTAAAATTTTTTGATGTTCCACAAGTATTTCACGTAAATCCTCGTAAATTCTAGTATTGTTTTTATGATGATTATTGCTTTTTCTCGGACAATTTTCATCAGGATCCACTTTCAAACTGGACAAGCGTAACCCAAGTACGACGTATTGCGCATAAAGGCACATCAATATTTGAAAAAACAAACAGGAGTAAACACCCAAAAGTGTCGCAGCCCAAAACAGACAAATAAATTCATATACAAATATAATTTCGTAATAAGGGAACTCGCTCATTGGTACAGGATACCACCCTCCAAATATCTTCTTTCTGCCTGTTTTGACAGCAGCCATACTCCCGGTGTGGTGCTGTATGTAGTCAACAGACATACCAGGAAAAAATAAATATAATATCTCTACGCCACCGAGCAATAGAAACACAAACGTGCAGCACAAGTTGGATAGTCTGCTGACCTTCTCATAGATTCTTCTAACATCACCACTAATCTCATGTGGTATGTTGAAAAAGTCCTTTCTCAACAAGTTGTAAAGCCTGCAAATACTTTCCATGCGGTACCAAAATATCAGGATCCTACAGCACAAAGAAGCAGCGGGTAATGGATGCAAGTATACAAATGTAAGTTTCTGCACGTCGAACTCTATATTGAAGAAGCTTTGCAGCTGACATACGACATATGGTACAGTTATAAGAAGTGACCCTATTACATGGATTTTGGTAACGACTGCCCTCTTCCCTGTGGTTCTATATTTGTTTATGGCGTTCCACATTCCTAAGAGTTTGAGAAACTTGATACTAAGACCATTGATGACATCTGAGTCTCCAATTGCATCCTGGAAGCCCATCTTCGACGACTCTCACTTACTTTCTGATGAGCTCTGCTTTCAATCCACTTTATAAGAAATGGCCTTAATGAAAACATCCCCTTATTAATGATCCAATTACCCTTCAGATTAGAATATTAGATATTCACGACCAATGGAATAAGAGAAGCTAATAAGGGTTTAATTAATCGTCGTTTCCTTCGGGGCAAATTCATATTCAATGTGGGGAAAAACATTTGCCTTGAAATAGAATTGAATGTTTAAGATGGGGATTGTTTACAGGTGGTTAATATCGTTTTTTGATCAATTACGAAAACTAATTACCTGGTTACAATGTCTTGTTTGTCCAGTTCCACGGTAACTTCAACACCGTTTAGTTTAATTACAGCAATTTTTTCCAGTAAGTATTTTCACAAAAATATTTGTTCATAATTAAGATGATAACAGGATAAAAGGACAGTTTTAAGTCAAATGAAAATATAGAATCCTTTAATTAGATGTCGAAATTCAAATATTTCGTTCCGTTTTAAGAAACATTAACGATTTTTTGTAAATTACCAGTGTAGATAATTTCTCTAATTAATCCTCTTTATTGATAATTTTTTTTCAATACTCAGTAATTGTTTGGTTTAAATAGATGGAAGAAAACACAAGAATCTTATCCGATCCAAGGTGCAGATTGGCTCACTGTTAAAAATTGGATTGAAAAGTTATTTCCAGAAGAAATTAAGTGTCCAAGATTTAAATTATTTGAAGAATACCTACTATTTTACTCCTTTGGTCTTCAATAAGCAACTCTAAGCATATACATATAATTAAAATGTTTGGTAAAAGAGGATTACTAGATTTTAACATACAATTCCGAATTTGTCATTTAAAATATCAATAGCTTAATGATTAACATTTAATTTAATTTACATCAACTCGACACAAATGTTTACACCTTTCATTGTTTTTGTAAAAAAATAGGCATCACATTTTTAATATTTAGAAAGTATAAATCCTTTAAAGTAAGATTTTATTAACTTCAGTGCTTTAAAAAAATACACAAATCCTATATTTATTTTAGTTTATTTATCCCATAATTTTTAATTTATTCATCCGCTTCACAGCCAAATCAGTATTCTAGTTATAAATCAAATTAAATATCGTTTATGCATTTTGACAAATTAGATACATTATTATACATTTTATTAGTGGAAGATATGTCTTCCTGTTCTATAGTATCATTTAATAACCCCCACTTATCCCTGTTGAACAAATCCCGTGTCTAGGACTTTAACTGAACAAATGTCTCACTTGGAATCCTCATACAAGAATGAAACGACAAGAAACCGCTTGACGTTTTCGCTTACTCCAACACTTAATGGAGAAACGTTCTAAGCTTCCAATTAATTACAAAATACTCATATACATGACTGTAATAAGGGCTATTTTGACTTATGGAGTTGAGCTTTTGGGCTCTACTAAGCCATCGAATTCCTCTCGTGTCCAATCCTTACAACCCAAAATCTTTTGTAAAACCCTCAATCCTCCTTACTTTATCACAAATAAAATAATGCATAAAGACCTTCCGTCCATATGATTCCGAATTTGAGCCAATCCATTAAATATTCATACCTGCCCTTCCATAATTCAATTCATAACCATCCGAATCCTCTCGTTTCTAGTCTTGCTTCTTCTTCGATCCCTGATAACCCTCCGAGGCTTCTGAAAAGTAGATCTCGTGATCTCCTAATTTATATATTTTAGATTTAGAGTGGGTACTTCCTCTACAAGTGTTCTCATGATATTGTATTTCTATGTATCTCATTTACTAGGTGTATATTTGTTTTTATACAGTTGTAAATATCATTAATAAAATATTAAAAATAAATTAGTTGAACATTTTTATATTTATTCTTTGCATGCATAATTGCACTGTTTGATAAATCTTGAATAGTGGTTTCGAGATAATCTTTATCCGATTATTGCGATATTTACAAAATATATAACTGACTATCTGACCCGTGCGAATACTCCGCACAACCTAATATTGGTATATAATTTTAATACATTAAGGGTTCAGCACAACTTCCATTCAATAAAATTTGATACTCAAAGATTTAATATATATATTTAGTAATTTATATGTTTATAAATATGATTTACGCTCTGCCATTGTTTAATCATTGCGCTTCCTTATACATATAATTTAAATATTAGTTTTTTTCAGCACTGGATTATCATAAATTTACAAAAGCTTTTAAACATTGCTTTGAATATCTGACGGCAAAAGAAAAAAAGGCTCAAATTCTCAGGAAGGAATAATCAGTATAATCAGGATGTATGTTACTTTATCATTAAAAAAAAAAAAATGGAAGTGTATTTTCAAAATGACAAACTTCAATAATAAAAATCTAAAGGTAAAAGCTAATGTAATTGAAGCATATTGACAAATATTCCATAAAGTGATTAATTAAATACACAATTATATAAATAGAAATAAAATTAATTATTTAATTAATTTATAAAAAGTTTATGCAATTTAAAAAAAAATACTAATTGATACAAAAAAAAAGGCAAATCACCTAAATTTTGAATTTCCATCTGCTTGTTTAGAACGCTATAACTCTGCAATAAATCGTCGAATTTCGAAGATTTCTTTATTACGTTTTGTATGTAATTTAGTAAGCTTTCAATTTAAGTAGTATAAAATTAGAAATCAAAATTATTATTCGCACATTCAAAGTGATATTCTCTTTCTATTGATACCTCATTTGTCAAAATTTATCACTCCTGAGAGCCGGAAAAGGGATTATATGTTCAGAAATAACATACGAATTTTTTTATTAACATCTGACAAAGTAATTATTGCTGTAGACATTTTTTCTCTCAACACATTAAATTTCGATTGTAGATAAATGATGATTAAAACATTTTGAATCAGATAAAATCCTTTTACTAATATAAAGTATATCCAATAAGTGAAGTGGAAAATTTATCATCTCTAGTTGAGTTAAAAAAAATGTGAATATCAAATCACAGTTTTTTTAACTCAAAAACACAGTTAAAAAAACTGTGATTTGATATGCTGTCGCCAAAAATTAGATTTTGGATAATTTATCCAAATGTATTTTTGAAATAAGGAGTATATTTAAATGTATCGCTTTGCCTTCAGCAAACACAACATTCTACATTTATTTAACATACAAAAAAGGTGACACTTTAAAAACATACTTTTTTTTTAGAAATAAATTATGCATTTATCTTTATTATAAAACATCCTAGGATAATGAAAAATAAATTAAAGCTTTTCAATAATTTATTGTAGTAACTTTTACTAAAAACACGGGTACAGAGTATCCCATCACTTCGTCGCTTTACACATCTAGAGATGAATCTCTATTTATTTCGTAATAAACCTAAATTTCTTAATTTCCCTTTATGTGGGTGAAAATTATTTTTTAGTTTACCAAGATTTTACTGCAAAACGCTTGCTGTTACTATATCAATAAAGATTTTTAAAGTTCACAAAGCTTAACAATAATTGCATTAGTATTTTTTTTAACATCCAGTATTAAGAGTAAATAATTCTACCATCGAAAGAAAGATAGGTTTACATAGTGCCACTAACGAATCCAGGATTTAATTTTCGTGAGGATTTTAGCCCGAAAATTTTGTTGATATATATATATACACATATAACGATAATTACTTTGGATTTTTTTGAGGGAAAAAGAAAGAAACTATATGAAATGGTGTATTAATGATTCTTGAAGACCTATTAAATACAATTACACGAGTAGTAATACTTTTAGAGATCATTGTTTAATATTTTTTTCATAAGAAATGGCTATATTTTACCATTTTGGGGCGGTTCAGCCCGAAATCACTCCCGTAGATCCGCCTGTGCATAGTGGCTATTATACTAAAATCGTATAAAGTAAAACAAATCATATAAACGGAATTTCGTACATTTTATGAATTCGGAATCAACTGGAATATTGAGTAGAAAGTTTGATCCAAGAGGAATCTATTTGTCGGAATCGGTCCCACTAAAGGTAGCTGAATAAAGTTTTTTCCGTACAATAAATAAAGTTGTAACAAATCAGTTTAAAGAAGTGAATTAGACATTTATCTGAGTTTTGGGATATCTGAAAATGGGAAAATTTGGATATTACGTTTAAATAATATAATGGAGTTTTGTACAAATATTTTATGGAGTTACCTAAATATTTAAGCGAAGCCCAGTAACCTTGTCATAAAAAGGGGGTTCTAAGTTACATTGAATGGAGGTAGAAGGTTTCCGTTTTTTTTTCTTGAATGGGATATTACTGAGACGCAAAATCTAAGTTTTCAACCTCGACACCCTCACGGATCACTTTTGATAATTCCAAAAAAATGCTATATTTTCGCACTTTTTAAGTTTTTTTCCCATTTTGACCTTGAAGAAGCACGTTTTTGACAAAAAACAATCCATTCATTTTTAAACTAATTAAATATTCTACAATTTAAGACCAAAGAAGGTTTGTTCAATTTAACAAGTTTTGAAAAACAGGTTTTCAAAGTTTTGGAAATTTGTGAAACTTCAAAATTTTAAGCTATTTTTTATGTTTGATTATATGCAATTGTCTTCATATCTTTAATAACCTGTATTGTATGATTCAGTGATGTAAATTTCTATTCATTTCAACAAATTGAAGGAGAGGAGAGGGAGAGGGGAAGGTTTGGTGGAAGAGGGAGAGATCACTTTTTACAACCAGAAGACTGAAATTGAAATTAAAAAAAAATATTTAACAAACATTTACATCAACTGCATACGAAAATTGTAAATGAAGTGAATAAAATTTTATGAATGAACATGTTAATGTAATTCTCTTCTTTGTGTCTTCAATAACCAGCCTTATAAGAGTTAGTGAATTAAACATTTATTTAATTTATAATTTTGAAACCCCCATACCAGGCTAAAACCACTAGAAACCGCCCGACGTATTCGACTACTGCAGAACTTACTAGACGCTCTGAGCTTTCAATCAATTACAATCAACTCATATATATGACAATAATAAGACCTATTTGGACTTACGGGATTGAGGTTTGGGGCTCCACTAAACCATCGAATTCCTCTCGTATCCAATCCTTACAATCCAAAATCCTTCGTAAAATTCTCAACGCTCCTTACTTTGTCACAAATAAAATCATCCATAAAGACCTTAATGTTCCATGTGTTTCCGATTTGGCCCAATCCAGATACCTATCCTTCCATAACAAACTGCAGAACCATCCGAATCCTCTCTAGCCTTGCTTCCTCTCCTATCTCTGATAACCCTCCGAGGCGTCTGAAAAGAAGATGGCCTAGGGACCTTCTAATATAGAACTTTAATTTGAATTCTACCAATGGGTAGTTTCTCTTCATGTTGTACATGTCATGTTACCAATGTCACATTTACTAGTTGTATTTTCCATGCAATACAGTTGTAAATTT